CTTCACGATGTATTTTTAAAAGTATTTGTTTTATATCTTCAAGTCTCTTTTCTTGTTTCAATTGGTTTTTCCATAAAACTTTATTTTGATTGTTTAATTTTTCAAGAAACTTTATGGGAATTATATAGTATTCTTCCTTTTCACTTTCTATTTAAGTGGAAAATGTAAACCTTAAAAATATACATTCAAATTTTGGAAGTACGCACCAGTAGTTTTTTTAGCTTTTGGCATTAAATTATCAGTATCATTTTTTCTATATTTTCTTGGAGTTTCTGATTCATTCTCCTCGGATTCATCACTACTATCTTTTCCCTCCTCATTGGTAACCTTTTCTTTATCAGGAACTTCATTAAGGGGTTGTTAAAGAAATGAAATTAATATGCAAAAATAATTAGCATTTTTATAGTACACAAATTAATTATATATTTATATATAAAATTGATTTTACCATGAATTTGTTGATCGTGAATTTCATGATTTTGAAGACTTTTTTGATAATCATCTTGACTATTTCTTTCAGGATTATCCTGACGAACTTTTCAATAATTGTGAGAAAGTTTATTACTTAGTTCCACTAGCCACAGTTTTAATAATTCTTTGTTTATTTTGCAGTAAAGAAATTATCATTAATAAAAAATTTTAAATACCATCATTAAATTGCCTTTGACTTCTAAGACTTCTAAGAGGTACGCGAGTAGTTTGAGTTTTTGAATTGGTTTTTCTTCCCTTTCCTCTTTTTTTACTAGATCTTTCCATATCTGCCATGATTATTTTTAATAGTTGTATTGTAAAAAAAGGTTATTAAATGAAAAAGAGAGAATTGAATAGGGATGAAAAGAAGATTTATAACTTACTGTATTTATATGATCATGAGTTTATTAATAGCTTACAAATAAGTTTAATTGATGTACTAATAAGTTTAATTGAAGCATATTTTATACGTCATTTTGACCTCATTTTGCATCTCTGTGTAACCTTAACTTATTTTAATTTGTATACTGTATAATAATTTTATGAATATGATTGCTAAAGTTCACCGGTAGTGATAGTTACCGTACCAGCATTATAATGTACTTTCGACCAGAATTAAAAAATCTAATAAAATACTGGCCAGCATTACATCATATTGATGACCAACACCACTGGTGATGTTTGACAATATCCTAATTTTATTATGATACAAATTAATATATATGAATTTCAGTTTAATATTTAATCTATGTACCATTATTAAATGACTGTATTGTATTAAATAATTATGATATCATTACTGACAATTATATCATTTATATTATATAATTGCACTATATAGTTATTTCTTCCAGTTATTATTAAATATTTATGTAACATTATAAAATTATATTTTCAAGTTACTTTTTTAAAATTGGTTC